GATTATAGATAGATAGATAGATGGACTGATGATAGATAGATAGATAGATAGATAGATAGATAGATAGATAGATAGATAGATAGATAGATAGATAGATAGATAGATAGACAGATGGATAGATGGATCGATGATAGATAGATAGATGAATAGATAGATAAATACAGAGATAGATAGATAGATAGATAGATTTATTAGATAGATTCAAAACCCCAGAAACTGGATTTTAAACTTGACATTTTTTACTTTATTTTTTGGTTTCCAGAATATTCAGCTCTGTGATAAACATGTTGATACTGCTGCTGATCTACACTTCCCTCTCGTGTAGGATGGTGGCACCAGAGTTCAGCAGTAACGTGCATGTGCTGGGTCTGTGCAATGTGCGTGTCTCCTTGTGGCCGCAGCAGCAGCAGCAGCAGCAGCGGCAGCGGCAGCATGAGAGGAGAGAGAGGAGGTCGAACCCCGTCACGTGTTGAATAAATTAGATTTGGAGAAGGGGGGACGTCCAGCTCCGCTCGGCCTCCTCACACTGTTTGGTTTCAGTCAGCAGCTCGCTACGGTGCGTTTCCAAGCAGACAGACCAAACTGTGCGATGCCGATGAGCCGATAGCTGGAAGAAGAGGACGAGGACAGGGAAAAGTTTTACAAGTTTGAGCTTTTACTTCTAATCGCTTCGCCTGGAGAGAGAACTTAATAGGAAGGAAACTAATTGGGTCCCACCGGAGTAATCTCCACAGACACTGGCGAAGGATACCAGCTTCTTTTTTCAAAAACCTTGACATGGATGTAACTTCCACTTTGGGCTTCACAGGGGAATACTGAGGAGAGCCTGGATTGTCCTCTGCAACACAGATGAATGTGAGTATCTTTCACAGCAGGACGCACATCACCTCACTCCACAAGGAACCAATGGACATGTCCATCACTGCAGTGTATCCACAATCCCCTCCTTCCATTTCTTTACTCTTTACAACTCACTCTGATCCAGTGTCTGCAGCAGATATGTTGCAATGGCTGTAAAACTCAGACCAGTGGTTGTAAAACTCAGATCTTTCATGCACATGCAGATTCATTGAATGGTGCAACTTTGCAAATGACTTATCTAGCCATTTTATAAACATTCTACAGAGTTCATTTAAAGAAGCAAGTGGACCCACAGCTGCCAGTTTCTACATGATTCAATGCCTCAGGTCAATGTTAGTACACATCTGTTACCTTGAATGAAGTACATGCAAAACTCCCCATAAGGATTTCACCGGTTTATGCAGTTAAATATTCTTTAAAGACAGACTCGTGTTTTTCTAAATACCATTACGCACAAGCACTTTCCGCTTTACGCACGGACTTTGCGCAGCGGCCAAATGTTTTAACCGCATGTGTCATGTCGCACTTTTTTAAGCTCCTCTGAGACATTCCTCTCAAATTGGTCCACCTCTGGAAGTTATTGTATTGTGGTGCCGCTGCTGCTGCGCCTTTCTGTCTGTCTGCCTCATCACACTTGAACGCATACCCGAACGATCAGCCGCACGTCGCGCACTTAACGATGCCGCTCACTGACCGTGAATAGGTGTTCCTTTCCCTCAATTAATTAATTAATTAAGTCGCCCCTGGGTTCCGTCACCGCGCACTTTTGGTTGGGAATGTGATGGTTGCCATGGTGCAGCTGCGTAATTACGCCGCCTCTCTCTGACTTTTTAGACACAACACAGGGCGCAGGCTCCTCCTTTCTTTTCTCTCTCCACCACCAGTCATCAGTTTGTGGAGAACTGCTTTTGTGCAACTTCTAGTTAGAAGATATTCATTTACATTGTTGCTATAGACTGGTTATTACAGCAACATGAGGCAAATGGAGAAGATCATCCATATCTTAAGATGTCAAAAGTGTTTGTGCCCCCATCCATCCAGTTATCCATCCTCAAATCCCTCATATCCATTCATCCATCTCTATACTTGCTTCATTTAAGGGCAATTTTAACAATGGTTGTGATAGTTATTGCCACCGCATCTCGGCGTTCAAGGATTATTGACACGCATTCTTTTTCCAGTCTCTGGGTTGAGTTAAGATGTGAAATTCACAGAGAAGAAAACAAACAAAAACACACAGCACTGATGGATAAAAACTTCAATTTGGGCCACCCCAGCTTTTATGAGAATCCAAGGATTATGTCATAAACCCTTGGCGCAGTGCATGAAGTAATCATTTCACTGGTCTTGTCTTTGTAGCCTGCATATGCTGTTGATGAAGCTCGTGTTCCCGACTCCTAAAAAGGAAGAAGAAACACAAGATATGTTTCTCCCAGGACAGCCACACTAGCACCAGCCCAAGAAAAAAGTTTTCTTGTTGCCTTACATTTCTGGAATTGTCTTGGCTGTAGTCGCTGCAGTTTTACTCAGACGACTGTCAGTTTTACATTGTGTTTTATTTTTCATGACAAACTGTCTTAAAATCTTTTTAAAATCCCTTCCCCATCCTCTTCAGAAAAATGCATGCAACTTTTAGTACAATAGTATTTGGTGAACTTTGACCTCAGTATTAGTAATGTTGTCCAAACACTCCTTACACCCCTGCTACTGTAACTCAGTGCACATATGTTTTTCATGATGCAACCACTTGTACTGCAAATGCAATATCAGATGGTGTCATCTTCAAAGACTTAAGGTGTATATTTTTTTTATCTGGAACATCTTATTCAAACAGCTGGACTAACCCATGCTGTTCTTGTTGTGGGAAAGAGATCATCCCTCTTGTCACAGATACTCAACAGCCCCGAGCTCGCTGTGAAAAAGTAGCCAGTGTGTTTTCCCAATATCGTGTTTGTTATGGCCGGGGATCGCGTGCGTATCTGAGGTCTGTGATGGCTTTTCCTGGCCCTCGCACATGCCCTGGGACCACAGTTTCAAAGACTAATGCAGAGCACAGAAACGTGGCACTAGTGAGAGGCAATAGTCTGGCAAACATTCAGAGCCTTTTCGTTTGCTTTGTGCTAAGCCTGTCATCCTCATGTCCAGTCGATCTGCAGTTTTGTCTGTGGTTTCCATTATGGCTCCGCGGAGCCTCAGGCAGCCTGGCATGTTTTTGAAACCGCAGAAGTTTTCTTTGAGTTAACTGGAATCATGACGTGGAATTAGAAGCTGGTTTTGCGTCGTCTGTCGCTGTAGTCGTCCCTCTTGGTCTGTTTGGGGTGACAATGTGTTGGTTGTGTTAATTAAAGCTGATGTACAATATTTTGGGTCAGGGTTGTGATGATTTAACTTAGCGCCACATAACATCTGTATTGACTTTCTCAAACATTGTGTTATTGTTGTTTAAGATATTAGCTTAAGATAAGTATTTCACAGATATTTAATATGCTGCCATTTCCCTAGATATGACATGACTCTGCCAGAGGTATGTATAGCAAATCAACAATAAGTTAATTGTGATGTTAAACAGTTTCTTTTACTTTGTATTGTTGAAAAACTATATTTGCATTTCAGTAGAGGTTTTGTTATGTGGATTTTGGCTCACGGATGGAGGCAGCAGTGTTTGTTCAGATGTATTGTCTATTGTTTTTTTTTCCAAACCAAAGGCCAGCTCATTTTCATAATGTAAAAGAGACAAATATTACTTCCACTGGAAAAAAAAAGCAAACATATTTTCAGCGATTATGAAAAGTGGTTACGGCACATTTTGCCAAACATGATGGAGACCACAGCGGGGAGGTAGAAATGTGCCCGCGATGTTCCCAGCTCTCACTGCTGCCATGGATTTTAATGCTGATTCCAGTCATGCTAGCAAAGTGCCCAGAATGATATCCATTGTATTCAAACAGAGGTTTCATTCTGCATGTAAATCCTACAAACCTTGGATTTGGTCGGTTGACTTGGTTCAGAGGATTCAAAAGAAACTGGGTCAAGCCACAGTTGCTGCTAACAATGAGGCGCACTTGAGGTATTATACACGTGTGTTCTGCTGTGAGAGGAGGGAACCTCAAGGATGCATTTGAAGTTTGAAGAAAAGATATCGGACTGTCCTTGGTGAAAGTACACAGGGGTTAATCCTCCAGCACTTACATCATCTTAACAAAACTCTCCTCCAGTGTTTAACTACCAGTGGGAGGGACTCACCATGATCTAGGACAATGATGCAAGGAAAACATCTGAATCCAAGCCACAATGGAATTGGCTTACTAAATACAACAGCTTTCAGCCATCAGCGGCTATTCTGAACTGTTTTCTTCCCCCACATTGCTTTCCCTGAAGCCCCATATGCACGAATAGGTTGTTGCCTTTTATATCCTAACTACTTACTGGCCTCTAACTTGCAGACATGAAACTCTCAGTGATAGATCCCAGAGTGTAGTCGCAGTGTTTGTTATATATTTAGCGAGCGTCTTAGCTTTTAAAGTGCAGAAACTTCTCTTTAAGCTTCCAGCTGAATCTTTTTTAAAACCATATGTCCCTCTCAACCTGATATTGTGCAATTAGCCTCGCCGAGTGTGTCTGCTACATCCATTAGTTCTCTGCGGCTCTGCAGAGGTCCTCCGCTGTAGCTCAACCAGAGAATGCATTATTTCAGTTGTGGCATTTGGACTCAGGTTCTGGCCTTGAAAGTGATTCTTGGTGCTTTGGAGTCAGCTTCGTGAAAGTGCAACCCCGGTGTTGCAGAAAGTTTTAGATCTTAGATGTTTTCAGGCTGTCAATGATGTGCTTATGTTTTAGCGAACAGCAGCACTCGCAACACAACATATGGAATGCAGGGGTGACTTTGTAGTGCCTGGCTTTATGGGCCTGTCGTTTGCGATTATTAGGGCCTCTGTGGAAGTAATAAGACTCGGGCAGGAATTCAGCAAATTGATCCAGTTGGTTTTTTTCCTAACTGTTGAAGAATGAACTAGGACTGAAGATATGTTAACAGCACTTAATTCAAAACTAGTAATGCTCCAGAGAATTTCTCACACCAAACTAAATTCAATGCAATTTATGACATTAGAGTCAGGATCTTTGGTGTTGCGCAGACTGAAATTAGCTCTGGAGTCTTGTGTGCTGATGGCCAACGTCCAGCAGACCTCAATTACAATGCGGCAGAGCCAGAAAGGGGGAGAGAGGTAGACTGCGTGGAGCCCTTCAACTCTGCCGCACAGCTCTGTCACTCAAACACACTGTCACCACCGCGGCAGAGACGGATCGCCACACTGCGTTCATCGGCACATGGGAGGCATTTAGAGCACACGCACACATGCTTCCACACGGATACACAGATGTTTTGTGGATGTGAACATTGTTGTGCAGGTATCAGTTCAACCACTGGGGGAGCCTTGCAGAGCTCTCATTAACAAAACCTTATAATAGTACAGTGTGCTTCTGTATTTACTCTAAATTAAAGTTAATTACAAGTCACAGTAGCAATGAATCACATTAAAACACAGGACGGAACCACAGACAATTGGAAGCCTTCACTGAATGAAAACGACACAATCATTTGATGTGTGCCAGACACTTGGCGGTTTTGGATTATTCTGCAGATGGTGACAGTATTGTTGAACAAGTTCCACATTGCTCCGTTCTGTCTCTCCCTCTGCAGTGGTGTTGTTCCGTTGCCAGAGGATTCCTATTGTTTGTGCAAGGAATTCTAACACCCTTGCTCCTATTAAATATCAATATTTGGATATTTTTCCTCTTGATTTAACACTCACAACTCTTAATTCTCACCAGTACTGGCAGATAGACATGTTTTCTTGGGAGATGGTTAAATATTTTAAATAGTTCCTGGAGAAGTGTTTGACTGCTCATTCCATTAGAGCAAAATGTGATAGCAACACATAAATATTAAATCCAGGACTCCACCTCCCAGACTTTCATCAGAGGGTACTGCTACAGTGAGCACACCAGGTAGGATGACAAAAGTGATTCCTGCACCTTTATAATTGGAATCGAATCTCATCAGTCAAAGGCTCCCTGTCTGGGGCAGAATGCTGCAGCCTGCGGTTTTGATGTTTCTTTAGCAAAGGAGAGCTTTCTGGTATGTAGCAGGAACAAGGTGTTGACTTATTAGGTGAAGTAAGAAGTGAAGGAAAAAAGTTATATGCCGGGCCTATTGTATGTTCTGCGGTTGGGAAGAGAGCCCATATAACATATGGGAAAGTATTTAAGGCATATACTTATTTTCTTAAACTAACTTACTCGGTACACAGAAATAATACACCTTTTCACATTTTCTGCTGTTGTCAGGTTTTGACATTGCTCAGCTTTTCCTCTTCTGTGTGTTTCCAGGTTTGAAAAGGCGGAGGCAAAATGAAGACAGCTGCCAAGGGTTTTGGGAAGTCTATTATGGACCCTTCGCATCGTGAGGGTTGGTGGAATACGTGGATAGTGCTCATGGTGTATGTGGCCTTGGAGCTTGTAACGGTCCATTCATCCGTCGTCCTCGGGACCCTTGAGCTACAGCTAGATGAGGAGCAACCAGCAGGCACAATTGTCGGTGACATCAGCGCTGGCCTTCCTCCTGGCATCACAGCGTCCCTGTTCTTCATCTCTGACCACGAGGGAACAGGGGTGGGCAGTGATTTGGACATAGATGAGAGCACCGGCATTATTAAGACTGCCAAAGTCCTTGACAGGGAACTGAGGGACAGATACAACTTCATTGCCGTCACCATGACAGGTGTGACTGTGGAGGTGACCATCAAGGTGAATGACATAAATGACCACGCTCCAACTTTCTCAAGAAAACAGATGATGTTTAAAATCCCTGAGCAGACAACCATTGGGACGAGGTTTTCTCTTGAGCCTGCTGTAGATGCTGATAAAGGCCAGTTGACGACACAGGGTTACCTTATTAAAGACGGAAATGTTGGCCAGGCCTTCACCTTGGAGACCAGGAGGGGCAGCAATGAGGTTCTCTATCTGGACTTGGTGGTCAACGCCATTCTAGACCGAAAGAAAAGATCCACCTACACTCTATCCTTGGAGGCATTTGATGGCGGTTCACCTAAAAGGACCGATCAGATGACGTTAGATATTACTGTACAAGACATTAACGACAACGCTCCTGTTTTTAACCAGAGCCGCTACCTTGCTATAATATCTGAGAACCTCCAACCAGGAAGCAACATCCTGCAGGTGTTCGCCACAGACGCTGATGAAGGGGACAATGGGATGGTGCTGTACGAAATCAACAGGAGACAAAGTGACCCAGACCGCTATTTTGTCATTGACTCTCGAACTGGTGTCATCACGCTCAACAAGCCGCTGGACTTTGAGATGCGGCGAGTCCACGAGCTGGTGGTCCAGGCACAAGACAACGCCACCCATCCAGAGGTAACAAACACCTTCGTCACCATCCACGTCAGAGACTACAATGACAACCAGCCCACTATGACCATCATCTTTCTCAGCGAGGACGGATCTCCCAGAATCTCAGAAGGAGCACAACCGGGCCAGTACGTCGCCAGGATCTCTGTCACTGACCCAGACTATGGAGAGTATGCCAACGTCAATGTGTCGCTGGAGGGAGGAGATGGAAAGTTTGCTCTGACCACGAAGGATAGTATCATCTATCTGATTTGCGTGGACAAAATTCTGGACAGAGAGGAAAGGGACACCTATGAGCTAAGGGTGATGGCGACAGACTCGGGCACGCCTCCTCTCAGGGCTGAGTCCTCCTTCATCATCCAGGTGACTGACGTCAATGATAACCCTCCTCTGTTTGACCAGCCGGTGTACAGACAAGTCATCCCAGAGGTGGTGTTTCCAGGGAGCTTTGTGTTACAGGTGACGGCCAGAGACAAAGACCAGGGGCCCAATGGGGACATTAACTACAGCATCCTGCAAGGCCAAGGTGCTTATTCCAACTGGTTCAGTATAGATCCAATTACAGGGATTATCACCACTCTCTCCCACCTGGATTATGAAAAGAACCCCAATCCCAGTATAACTGTCGTAGCCAGAGATGGAGGGAAGCCGCCCCTGTCCTCCACTGCTGTGGTCAACATTGTGCTTCAGGATATAAATGACAATGAGCCTGTTTTTGAGAGAAACTTCTACAATGTCTCCATCAAGGAAAACACACTTCCAGGGACCTGCATTCTCGAGGTAAGACCTTTTCTTTCAGATGTATTTAATTTCACAGTTTGCAAATTGGTTGATTTTGTAAACATACTCCCACACTTAAACACTAAACTCATGCAAGAGTTTGAACTCAGTTCAGGGGCAATTGTGAAGAGCATAATAAATGGAAATTTATTAGATAAATAGCAGAGGAATTTGTCAGACTTTGCCGATTCCTTTCATTCCTCTATGACAAGTAATTTAAAAGGTAAAGTTATTTAAATTGGACGGCTTTAGTGAAGATTTACCTGTGTTTTTAGGCCAAGATGATCTCCTTGTTGGCTGTCCTGCCTTTCACCTCTCAAAAGGTTTCCAGGGTAACAGAGGCAGTGCAAAGTCCTCTGTCAGCTGAGGCACAAAGGGCTTTTTCACATATTCGACGGCAGAGACAAATTCGGGGCTTTATCCAAAGAAATAGATGTCACTTCACTCTCAAAAGGCACCTTAATTAGACTAGTTGAGCGTGAGAAAAAATGGCCACAGACGACAGGATGAATTAAAGTTCAGGCAAATTACAGCACCCGCGGTGACTGCAGGCCTTTTTCATTAAAACGTATTGTTTTGTCAAGTCGTTTTTTTGGCCCTCATATTAAGAAGACATCAGTTAAGTCATTAAGTAATTTCTTTTCAGCTCACTTCAGATTAATTTGTATACATCACAACATACAAATCAGAAAGCTTTTTCATTCTTCCCACAAATACAGAGGTCAACAAATTGTATTCCACAAGCGTCTGCAGTAGTATTGCATCAATGGATCAAGGAGTGCTTTTCAGACAGAGGGCCCGGCAGACAGGATCTTGGCCCAGGGTTTGGCCTTGGGAGAGGGAGGGGTGGAGGGAGACGTAGGTTTACACCACGACTCTTGGCTTGAATGCAGAAAAAGAAGCTACGAGGGCTTCTTATGGGAGGTCCCCTAATTATAAATCACAGGGACCACAAGGATAAGGGGAAAAAAGGGGGGAATGCACTGAAGCTGATTATGGAATTTGGAAAGTGAACCAGAGAAGAATTAAAAAATGTATGTTTTGGAAAACTGCAAAGCTGCGACGATCACTCTTTCCAATGTGGGCCGAAGTTCATGTTCTGTGAAAATATCTGTAAGCCCTCATTTTGTTTTCCTTCAAACCGGAGATGGTCAGACTTTTGTTTTTCCCTTCTGTGTCCCGTCCAAAAGCTTTACTACCTGCTTTCAAGCAACTCCTGAGTATGTCATGCTTGATCAGTGGCCTCGCGGGGCCCAAGGATGAAGTAGTTGTTCTACTCTGCAGCTACTCCGTCCTCTCCTGGGTCTGCCTGGATGCTGCAGACGTGTGTTTGGCGGGTCATGTGAGAACAGACTGCTCTTACTCAGGGTGCCAGCGCTACATCCAAACATCTCAGCAAGACATCACATGTCTGCCTTTTTTTCCTCTCTAGATGAAATTCCCAATCCCCCACCATATCAATTGGTGTCCAAAAAAAACTGGTACAATATGTGTACTGTGATCATTAATTTGAAGTGGCTTGATTTTTATATTTCTTTCTCCTCTGCAGGACACCAGCACAGCGGGTCGTGATTATTCTAATGTAGTCTGGCTACTCAGCGCTGCGCCTGCGATATTTTGTCACTTTCCGCTCTACATCATTTGGTTTATGGGTGACATTATATTTAGATGTGTGGGGGGAAAAGATAACTAAAAATAAGGACTTAAGCATATTAACACCAATCAGTCTTGTAATCCAATATGTATGATCTACTGCAAAGAAAATAGGTCATCCTTGAGAGGGGAAATCAAATACGACATGAAAAACAACATTTGAAGAACCACAAGCTCCATTGTGGAATGTGTTTCATGAGCCATTAGTAATTCTAGTCACCATTATTAGTTTTCAAACTGTGTCCAACTTTACAAGTTGTCTGGATTGTGCAGCAGTCAAATATATTTCTCGCACCATTTTATTTCTCCATTTCACTGTGGGTTGCTAGCATGCGTTCATGCTGGAGGTTCTGTTTCATTGTATTCTGCTGGTGGGTGAAATGTGTGAGGTTTTCACAGATCAAAAAGATCAAAAAACAAAAACCAACAATTACTTCAAGCTCATTTAATTCGGTCATTAGGCTTAGAGGCTTTTGATTTGTGACACTGGAGGATGAAGAGTAATATTACATGTCATTAGGGATAATGAGGCCCATCAGCCAGCCATATTTCCAAATTCTGTAAAACAAAGCCTGGCTTTCTTTGCTTTGAGAGTTATCCATCATTTCATCTCCTATGTGTTGTTCTACTTATGAATTAATATTTCTTTCCAGTTGGTTATGTCAGAATCCCACTTTGGGGAATAATTCGCACCTCGTATCGCTGTGGTTTTCGCTTGATTTGGAGTGCGTCTCGGCTAAGAATTGTCCCTCTGTCTGTTTTGGGGGGTCGTTCTGGCTCCAGTAGAAAGGTGAGAGGGGGTCTCCAGGCAGCTGAGGGGGAAATGAGCCCTGACAAGCGCTGGCATGAGTGGCGGAGGTGACATTAGCAGGGGGGCTTCCTTGTCTGTCTGTTGGTCTTTCCCTCCAAATTCTTATCTGATTTCCCTTCATTTCTCATTAAGCAGCTGTGAGGATAGGCCAGACCTAATTTTTAAACCTACCTCCCCCACCTCCCCCACCTCCTTGTTCTTGACAAAATGGACTGCTTGTCATCGCTGCAGCAACTTGAGACCAACACTGATTGCTAGGAGTGAAGGAGCTATTTTAAGCCATAACTCAGATTTTTGCATTTATCTGTTTCTTTGCCACCCAGAGTTGTTTCCTCTCTCATATATGATGAGAAGATTCGGAGTCTGATGCATTCACAACTAAGGGAACATCTCCAGAATCTTCAGGTGAACATAGGCATCTGGATAGGGCTTCTGCCATCGGCCCTTATTGCAAAAAGCCCTTAAATCTTTTCTTCTTTCTTGGGTGTCTTCTGGGTGTCTTTTTTTTTTTTTGCACTTCTCCATTTTCCTCCTGTATTCTCCCTCGGACATTCTCAGGAGTTGCTATTTTGTGGCTTGAAGGAAAAACTCCTGAGAACAACTCAAACATTTGCGTTCTTACATACAGCCTCTCTGGATCATTTCAGGAGATTATCCTGGTGATATTGTGTCTGATTCTTATTCTTCTTGTGAGCAACAATGCTACCAGCTTATCTTTAGTTTAGATAATCACAGATGCAGTCTTTTCAAGCAGTGTAACATATGGCACATATACAACTGCAACACATTCATTATTTCACTGAACTCTTTAAAGGAAGCCTAGTTGAAAGCGGTACCTCAGTGAAGTAGTACTCCGAATCCCTTCCCCCCCCCGACATAAAAGCAACCAGTCTACAGGGAAAAAAGGAATACTCATAATTGCCTGTGAGAGAACGTATGAACGATTGAAAGATGTTTGTCTTTCACAGCTGAGTTTCCACAGTCTTTTTGTAGTGTAGTGACCACCTACTGGTAACCGCCAGGCAGGTGCTAATAATGCTGATTCCATTACTGTGGCATCCTTGAGCCTGATGTGTTACCAGATGAGAAAAATGTGGCTGTACCGAAGGGGGATTTTGGGAAAGCCTGCATTTTTTAAATATATCCTGCGTTTCTGCAATCTGTGCCTCTTATTATTTTATGTTTGCAGGAACACCTAGTTTTTTAGATTCCCTGTAGAACAGACTCATTCCTTTGTATTTAAAAAAGTAAGTTACCCTCTCACAGTAAGTTGGTGAAGTTGAGGGTATATGGCACTTGGGATTTGAAGCAGAAGTTAGTTTGTTGTCTTCTGGATTATTTAAACAAAAAGCCACTCTTGAAGAAATTTAATATTTATGTTTTGCAGCTCTCTGCTCCTCCACAAAAGGAGTTTTAGCTGCTACTCTTAAATTTCAACCTCATGTTACCAGATGTTCCCAGTGTGGTGCATAAAAATAGCAAATTTTGACTTTCACCCACAAAACAACCGTGTAAAATTCTGTGGTTTTTCTGACCAAAGACGACACCTGACTGCTCCAGTTCTCTTCTCTACATGGCCACTTGTATTCTCTGTCATGAACTTTGCCAATGTCTCAGTGTTGCAGTGTTTCCAGATTTTCGAAATACGGCTTTTTGCAGATAAGTGAGACCAAAAAAGAAGATAAAAAAAAGAGATAAAAACAGAATCGCCACTTTCTGGCTGGTATTTTGGTACAAAAAAACTTGTAATCAATTCTTACCAGACATTTTTCTGGGGATGGTGGGTGTCAATCAAAATGTTCACTTGTCTGTTTTAATACCAGACCAGCCCGTCTCCCCGTGGGATTGGTTTAGCTTGAGGCAACTGTGCTTTTGGTCTCCTCTGTTTCTTTTTCCCCTCGCTAACTACCAAGCTTTGCTGTGTGGCTCTGCGGTGTAACAGTATTTTCAGAGAATGGTAAAATTGCAGGAAACTGGATGTGCTACTTAATGTGTTCGCAAATGTAATACTTCCTTGAACACTTACTCCTGGGCCTAGCAGGGGCACTGAAGCGAACATAAACACTGATGTACATCTGGATGAAGTGTGGGTGTTCAGGTCAAAGTTGCTTCGCTTGAGACAGCTGAGCGCATTTTATTGTGCTCGGCCGTCCATCAGCAAATCCACCGCCTCTTTCTTTCCAACAGGAGAAAGAAGAGGAGAAAGTTGTGGTGAACTTTTTAATGGCATAAGGCTGAATAAAGAGACCAGGAGGAAATGGCGTTCAGGAGAAAAACCAAATCTGTGAGTTTGAACAGCATACCTGAAGGAATGCTGCATTTACGGACTAAAAATGTATTTGTATTTGTTCTAGAGCTGCACCTAAAGATGATTTTAGAGAAGGTTGTTCTGAGAGTTCAAGATTGCATCTCAATATTAGACACACAAGACATATTCCATTTGGAATAATATAAACTAGAGAAAAATGACAAATCCTCTTGCAAAATGACTTTGAAAATACGTTTCTTTATAGTTAAATAGTTGATTGCTTTGGAATATTATAAGCTTTCATGAACGTATTTATCATTCAAATACACCATGAGACAGTAAATTCAGTTTAGGTCCTTAAACTATCACCTGCTCAAAATTGTTTTAAAACTGATATATTTTGCAAAACAAGCAATAAGGCTTCTTTATTGGTTGCTGTGGTAAAGTGAACTGTGTTTACGTGACTTCAGGGTGACTGTTACAGGTCAATGCAGGCTGTGGTGCAGCCACGCAGATTGTTGACTGCGAAAACCAAAGTTGAGAGATAAAATGCCTGCTGGAGGGGGTTTCCTGCCCACATCTGGTGGAGAGGGGAAGATGGGCTTATGGAGCTCTCCCGCGGGACTAGAAATTTCATTACGCTCTGTCTGCTCGCTCTGTCTGCTGCAGGTGAGGCAGACGTCTCTTCGCCGCTTCCAAGTTTCTATGAAAGAGTGTGAGTGTATAGTGAAAGAAGAGCGAGGGAGGGAAAGAAAACAGTTGAGTCTCCAGAGGGACAGTCGGCCTCTGGCAGCTGTGACACAGCTTCGACTCAGCAGCTGGATCCAGCTGTTTGGTCTTTCCTCGAACATCTCTCCTCTGACTTTGTGGGGTTGGTTCTCTCTCACTCTTCCTGTCCTTCATTTTTTTTTATGTCTCGCTTTATCCTGTGTCCCTGTCCATGCAGACTTCTTATCTCTTACCGGTCCCCCTTTCCCACACTGCTGTGTCCCCCCCTATGTGATCCTATTACACCTCTTCTTCTCCCTTCGGAGCGGTGACATGTGGATCGGAGCAGGTGAGAGCAGCACATCAGCCTGTCTGGGGATGCTCAGGCCTCCCTGCAGACGGAAACACACTTCCTTGAGGGTCCCAGCCAGACCAGCTCCGGGATTATCCAATTTGATGATGCAAGAAAAATGCGGGTTTGAATTACCGACACGGTGAAGTCAGGCTGCAGGTGTCTGTGCCTTCACAGTCATGTGGTCACATTGTTTTATTCAGGCTCCAGATGAGCACGTTAGCTTGACCTTTATAAACAGAGACAAATATTCCCTTTGCCGCTTTGCTTCTTTGAAACGAGGCGAATGGGAAAGGGATATAAGACCGAGAGGCTCGCTGTGACGAGGGCTGCCAGGCCTTCTGTTCTCGCAGCCCGTGGTCCCCCTGCACATGTGCGCGGCAGTTGGTGCCGCCGAACAAGCTGGGCATCAGGAAGCATCATCTGCTCATGATATTCATTCTGTTCCAAAGCAAATCTGTGCTAAATCATTCGTCCAGTCTCCAGCTGTCCCTCAGGAGCCACCAGACTGGAAAGCAGGCGCTTGGCGACAGCTTGCTAGGTAAAAAAAAATCAGTAACCAGAAAAGTAGATCCCAAACAAAGGGCAACAAAGCATTATGGATGAAGTGCATATATTGTAATGGTAGATACTCAATTGCCACCATGTTGCATATTACATTCACGACAAAAGGGCCTCCTCCTAGAAAAGCACGCCCTATATATACACAGCCTTAGAATATCTTAACCGCTGAGCAAATCGTCTCCATATCCACAACTTCACTGTTACAAGGAATGCATCGCTTTCGTCTGCCAGCAACCTCAGCCCCCCTCTTTCTCTGCAGCCATGCTGCTGCACAGACTGCCAGTTGAAATAACGACTGAGAAAAACGTTACTGAGCCCAACGAGCACATGGAAAAGAGTGGTGCATTCACTTACCGGCCATGTGGTCAGATCCTTCTATTTCTGCTCTCAATTAGATCAATGTTGGAATACAACCAGGTGTGATTTGGAAGGTAGCTGAGTATAGGGATTAGTCAATACCTCAGATCGTCATGTGAGAAATAGGTGAGGGGGGAAAAAGGTGGTAAACCAGAAAAGCAAAAATACAAACAAGGCCAGGGGTGAGGATTCCTACGCCAAGGCTACTTCTGTGTGTGGTCAGAAAAATGTGGGACCCAAACTGAGGCTGTTGGATCAGGATGTTTTGCAGATGCTTGTTAGTAGTAATGATCCTATGAAAGCTCTCAGCTCCTGTGTGGAGCAAATGAGTGTTCAGGGCTGGGTTTTGAGACCCAGTGCGTCTTTGATACTGACTAAAATCTCAGCAGGCCCCTTGGACAGTTTTTTTAAGGTGAATTTAGTTCAGCCAAAGTTCTTGTGCATCCGCTGTTTTAAGATGATATTACTTTTTTATATTAAGCTATTCTCTTCCATGAAAAGTTTTTTGTAGGAAGTTGCAGAAATGATCATTTAGCTTGATATAACACTCAAACTGCTATCAGACATGCACTGAACTCTAGATAATCTGTGCAGGTTTTTGGGCCAACCCCCTAGTAAAAACTTTGGGTCACGTCTGCTCTGGGTGATGCAACACAGAAGGAGATTATCTGAGGGTTCACCACGAGCGAGTGGGCATGTTGGCAATGTTTCTAACAAGCGACGGACGCAAAACTGAAAACAAAGCAAACTCCAGACCCCATTGTGCCAACATTCTCTGGATTCATGTCTGAAAACGACTCTACTCAAACGAGTCCTTAATGCGCTTGATCAACAAATTTGATCGGTTAATAATGGTCACTGTAATCAATGGTAATGGTCAATGGTATCAAGTGAGAACATTTTCCACTCAAATTGGCTGAATTTTAGTGAGTAAGTAGTTTTTGAAGCCTTGTACGACAGAGGAAAAAATAGCAGCAACAGGGCGAGAACAACAAACCATATGGAGAAGGAGGTTAGTGGCGAGAGACGCTCCACTTTTACATTGCGGTGAGCCCAAGTTGTCTGTCTTGGCTTCAGACTGAGAGGCACCCGGGCCTGCTCCAACCAGACTCCCAGTCTGTGTGTACTGATGCTCCACGGTGGTCCACCCTCACACTGTTAGTTGCATATCTTGAAGCCTTCGCCACATCGACCAGAAACGCCCCTTGTGTGTTATAAGGCAGGACATCTGTTATGCCTTATCTATTCTAAGGTAATGCATCCACCCCTGCAGATTAGTTGTAATAGGGGGACAACTGCGTAGCTTAACGCTGACATCCTCAGCACTGAGTGCCAGGATGTTATTAAAGATTTAGCGGCAGAACTAATTATCACAGGTTTACGTACTTCATCAATAAGGCTAATTTGGTCTGGTGCTGCAGAGTTTATGTTGAGAGTGGTGTGCTGCTTCTTTTAACCAGCGTGTTGAAAGGCCAAATCTTTGTTTAGATTGTTGTGTTGCTGTGAGGAGCCTGGAGGCAGCTCGGGGAGCAGTGGGACTCTGCTGTAATTAGGCAGAGCTGGTATGCAGGAGTGCAGGACTCGAGATGTGTGATGTGGTATCAGAGCGGGCGAACACAAAGCCACACACCGTGGCGTGTGTGTGTGCATGTGTGTGTCTTTGTGTAGACATGGTTTTCAGGGTGGAAGATTTTCTCTAATCAGAGCCCTGAGTTCCTCCCAGATCGCCTCACAAATGCATCTTGTGGGATCCAACGTATCAACAAAGGATTCTCAGGAGAAGAGAAATTTATGGTGCAGATATGATTTTCTCTGCCCATGGTTAAACTAAAGTGATGCACACCATAGTTCCCCACCACCTTTGCATTAGAGCTTAAGTTTGAAGCTGTGTTTGCAGCCAGTTTGATAAAATCCGTGCAGCATCTTCTTGAGTTGCAGCACCGTGGAATGTGAACTGAAAGATTCTGACCTTACATCTCTGTGTTTTACTCTGAGCGCCCTGTGCACGCTGTTCAGAGGCTCTCTCTCACTCTTTCAGGCGAAGCCGATCACCCTCAGAGGACGCATGAAAAAATACTCCACGTTCAAGTGCCCAGAAAAATGTGTGCGTGTATTATCTTCAGCGGCCTCAGCAAAGTCATCTCGACGCTCAAATCGATGCAGACAAGGAGCTGGTCAGTGCAGTTGTCTGGATAATGGAGAAACAAGTTGTTGATGCTTTCAACAAGCCAATGCATCACTGCCAGGGCTGAAAGCCTCCAGACATCTGGTTTCAGGAGCCTTCTCCACTCAAACCTGGCTGTGTCTTTATAGAGGATCCCTGGAAGTGATGCATAATATATTTCCTCAGATCCCTGATGCAACTACAAAAGCCTCAAATCCCAGTTGCGTTTCTGTCTGGTGCTACTACAGAACACTGTATCATCTCTTCTTTGAACATCCATCTGCACTTCTCTCCAGCCAGGTGACCTTTTTAATCACCTGTTGGCGTTCAGAGGTTTACTTCCTGCGTCATAGTGGTAAACTTTACTCTTATGTCGTGGGCGGCGATATTCGCATGTAATCACCTTGAACAGGACACTGGGGGCGTGCAGATGTGAATGATCTTCGTTTGCAGACCTGTGCAGATCTTTGGTTTTGTGCCTGGACAGAAGAGTCACCTGCTGCCAATTTCTACTATCAACAACTTATTGCTTGCAGGCCCTGATTAGGCCAGACAGCGGATATGGTGATTAATGTAGCAATTTACCTTTTGTACGTGAAGTCACGGCATGCTGGAATAACACTAGCTCATCCAAAGATCTGCTGTGGACTGGACGGTTTGTCTCTTTTAACTCTTCAGTAAATCAGAAGAAGTTAAACTAAAGTTGAAATTGTTTTTGTTTCAATGTTGTGTCTCATTTATAGTTTCCAGAGCAACCAAGAGCTCAAGGGAAGTTACACCTCCTTCAGACCTGGTATTAACATCTGTCCTGAGCAACTGGATCACACGTGGTCCACACTAAGCACAGGTCTGAACACACCCAAATGCATCCTGAATGAGTCCTGAGATTCCATCATGCAGACCACATTTGGAGATGTTCTGGTACTAGGGTTGGATATCGTTTGGGTTTCTGGTGCCTAAACGGTGACAGAACCGTTTGTTGTCGTGTCATCTCGAGTTTGAGGTAGCAACTGGCTAACTGTAGGTTAACGTGATGTGCTGCCAGAACCATGTAGAGAGTGTGTTGTGTGGTCACCCCACCCTATCTGGGATCCATGTAACCACATTCTTTTCACTGTGTGAACACAAATGCATTCTGGGCCACCAGTGAAGGACTGCCTACTCAGCTGACCTCTGACCCGCTGCAGTTTAAATGCATTTCTACGCTTCTCAGTGGCAATGTGTCGATTTGTTTGTAGCCACAATATCAACACTGATCACCACATAATGACTGATACTTTTCTGAAATTGGTTCAATCTTTCCTCAAATATATGCACATCCATTCACTCAGTCCCTCCTGACTCCCCTCGCTCTCTCTCTCTCTTTTGCTCATGCGGACACACAAACACTGTCATGCACACATCTGTGAACTCCAACTGGGAAAAGACACAATTTGGTCTTTGCAAAGACAAATGACACATCTGTTCATCTGCATGTAAAGAGGGGAAGTGAGATCCGATCACAAAAGGTCACAGGAGACACATTCAGGACGTATTTTAATGCCAGGTGTCTCAGGGTGGATTTTAAGGTCTGAGGGGAGTGAATTGGTGAGGGTCTCACATCATCACTGACATTTTTCTCAGTCCACCGTCTGTTGATCTAATATCTTAACGGTCGTCTGACTATTCGAATACTGGAGTCAGACAATTTCATCATCATCACTTGTGGAACAAAAGCTTTGTTTTAGAATTAATACTGTTCTGAACCCAACAGGAGGGAAAATGTGATTTTGACAAGATCTGAGAAGTCTCTGGGGCCATATCCAATAGATGTGTGGTCTCCAAAGCTGACAGAATATTTGATTAACACAGTGGAGATGTATTTTGGAATCCCTTATTTACTGAGCAGTAGGATAGATAAGACCCTTGTACA